AAAATCCAGCTAAACCGTTTAAGGCATTTATTTCTATATGTTATGTTCCTCACATATACATCCTATGAGATTTAATATTGTTTATAAATATAAACACATGTTTAAAACAAACTCTCGGTCTTAAAATAATAATAACAAAGATGTAAAGGGCTAATAAGGGAAATATTTGTATTTCACTTTTACACTCAGATTAAAAATAAATGTATAATGACTTTAATATGCACTCAATCCATATTAATGCATACAACCGAATTCGGAATCGAATCTGAGAATCGGATCAGAGTTCGATTTTTGCTATTTGGATCGAGATTCGGATATCTTGGAAAAATTCGAATCTCCGGATAACCCAAATTTGAAACATCACATTTATTCGTAATTCGGATAAACGGATATTCGGTTAGCTTTAAATCCGAATTAATCTTGAAGTCCTAGTTTAAAGAGAGAGAAACGCAACTTATTACAACAATTGTGTACATTCTGACAGTTGGGCCATACCCAACCATACCTACTATGATTGATTGCAGTAGCGCTACTAATTTTCAAATTGCCGCATCGTCGAAATCTAATAGTTTTTGTGGTTAATTAACTTAAACGATTAATTATATAGAGTACAAGATACACGAGATTACAGTAACACGTAGAACGTAGTGTAACACATGATAATGCATCCTTTCTAGATCGTAATGCAGCAATTAATTTCTGCAATTTGCGTTTGCACGACAAGTTCATCATTATTGCGTGAATCATTATTTGTCATTGCCATTAATTTTTATCCGGACGCAATTAAAAGTTTGGCGAGATCACTTTCGTTGACGTGTATGAAATATCATTTGTATTGCGCTTCGCAATGTACAACTGAAAAGTTGAAAACACGACCGATTTTCTCATATATACGTTAATTTCGTTTCAACAATTCGTGCTTTGGCGACTTTCTAACAACACACCGGGCAGTTTGCCTTTAACGCGCTCGAGATTAATATTTATAATTAAAAGTTCCGCTCGGGACGTTTATGAGTCGCGTTATTAAATTAATGAAAACGCGCAGGTATATCGTAATCTTTTATTATGCAATATGTAGCGGACGTCGCCGAATCGGTTTTCATCACTTTATTTACGAAAAACTGCTGATTAATCAAAATAGATTCTCTTTCTCTGCGTAGCGGACTATATTCGACGTGTCTAATTTCAAATCATTCCGTAAATGCTTTGTAATCGTGTACTCAATAGAAGAGACAAACGGAACAACAGTTTCACATAATCACAACGAAAGTGTAAGCTTCGGCGCCTGTCTCTTGTAATTAAGTGTAACTCAACTCGCGAATCGTTCGTAATATCGATCGAGTTTGAATCTCGGTTTCGTCGACATGGCGGAATTTACGATTAAATTGGATGGACGCCCGCGTGTCATTAGACTCACGCCTATTTGTAATGAATATAATCATGTCTACGGTGTAACGAATATTTAAACTTTAATTCCATTTCAATCGAAAACATAAAACTGACACGCCGTATTTAAACTTTTTTTTTTGCTTTTTTCTTTTTCTACAGCAAATCAAAAATTTCTATATTTATAAGAAAAATAAAAATTCCATCGAGATTATATATCTAAATTAAAAAAAATTAAGTGCTAACTTGTGCAGATGTTTCTTATTTACATTTGTATTATGTTTACGGGAAATAACTTTGTTCAAACACAGAGTATTTTGCATGCACCCGAAGTAAATTTTTCCATTAAAACACACATAGGATATAATACAATTCATTATTATGCAGACAGAAAAACAGATGTATGCACTCATGGATGCGTGGTTTTATCACACGATGTAAAACCGTAAAGCTGTAAAACAGTAAAGCGCGGTCCTTCCGTGATACAACCAAGTGAATTTATATCACCGAAACATTTGCCTCCACGTGAAATCGTTGCAAATGCAGGGACAACCATATCGATTACGCGTTTTCACACTGCAACGTTAATCTGATGTTACGCACGTCCGCGTAGCCTATCGTCAAATGTCAATATTAACACGGCGTATCGCGTGCGATATTATTTAATAACAAACAACGCTTACTTTTAATCCTGGTAGTCGGGAATTTCAATTAAATTTTCAAATCGCGCACTGACGAAATTCACCGTCGAACATGATTTTTCGCAATCGATAATCGAATCACTGTGCAATTATATAACGCAAAACTTGAATGATTATAAGCAGAATATGATTGCGAATGTGAAATGAAATGAAATGAAATGAAATGAAACATTTTTCAAATCGATACGATATATCTACGATATGTAGTCGACGTATAATAAATAAATCGTCTAAAAAATCCTTAAGCGCGTCTACTTGCAAAATAAAATTGAAAGAGCAATTCTTTTCAGAATCTATTCCTTTTAACAATATGCATATGTACGATACTAAAAATATCAATGGCACGAGTAGCGCTTGAAGAGATAAATAATACTTAAAAAAAAAAAAAAAAAAAAAACAAGTGACATTCTTGAATCGATTGATGCGTAACGAGCCTCAATCCGTTAGCAAGTTTGACAGCTCACGTTGCGCGACAGCCAGCCCCAGGAATGGGACGTTGAAACAGCGACAACTCATTTACTAATCACTGTCACTCGTTTCCACGGTGTTTCATCATCGGTGGTAATTCGTTATAATACGAGCGGAACGTGATCACAACGTGAACGCAACGTTCGCCCGCGGCACCGGCACGCTTATATTCGCTTATATTCCCTTATATTCGCTCGTATTCGCTCGTATTCGCGAGAGCATAGGTGTGTTTCGCGTCGGCAGCTGCGCTCGCGCGCACACGACAAACAATGTTGATCTACGCACAGTTCGACCGTTCGAACGGCGAACGGCTAATGGCGATTAACGTAACGTTTAGAGCATTAATCGGTGGCATTAATATCTCTACTACCTCGCCGACCGCGCCGCACCACCCTTCGCCCTTTGTGCATAGCAAACTAGTGGGCGCACGTGGATGTATTAATGCCGCGTACATGCGGTCGGGGAATCGACTCCTCGCAATCTGAGGGATTATTTCTCATCGGGAAAATTAATTTCGGCTGGCGCTGCCCGTTTACCCCCTCCCCCATCTCCCCGATCACGATCATACGTGCCAATTCCGATTACTCTTTCGATTTCGTAAAATGGGCAAACAAGTTCTAGCATATTATGGTGGGCTTATTGTGAGTATTGTGACAGAAACATATTTCACTGTGACAGCGAATGAACAAGTAAGGCACGGTTTATGTGTCTTTTATTGTCAATTAATTAATTAAATATGTCTACATGTATAGCCCTTTTTTTTATGTAATTAAATATTTAGATTCTCTCTCTCTCTTATATACGTCACAAATAGCTTATTTCCTTGTTTACCGCGTTAAATATTTATTGATACGTAAATAAATATGTTTTATGCGCGTTGCTTTTTTGTATTTAAAAATCATATTCTTTTCTACCGTGTTATTTATTATTGCGCGAATAGAAATTGATGATACGAGGCTAACGTTTAATTAATTTACCGACATTTGACTGCGATAATATATAAATATACTGATTTCTTTGAAATTCTTTTATATAAGTAAGTGTCATAAGATAAATATATTAATAGACAGAAATATAATACATCGCGCGAACAAAGTAAATTCAAGATTGAAAATAAATAACAAAAATACCATTTTTCGTCTTATGATTTTTCAGAGAATCACACTTATTTACAACAAGCTCGTGACTTGAAATGTTACGTTTCAATATTAAATTATATTCATTATTCGCTCGATATATCGTTTTAGATAATCGAATTATCTAAGTTGAATAAACGACCGACACGAGCATTACGCTTCCGCGAATGGAAAAGGAAAAAAGAAATGCGAGGGACATGACCTGTTGAGATGTCACGAATATCACGCACATGAATCCACACCCGAAGCCTTTCCGGTGAATATGCGCGCGAGCAAAAGGTCTCAAGTAGGATTAATAGCCACAGGCAAATTCGCGCGACGCTAATAAGTAAAACCGGCATGAATTGAAAAAGTTTTCCGGCGGAAAGGCGGAAGGGTGTAGGCGGAAAGGCTCGCGTGTAACGTCACGATAAATCGTACGAAGACGTTGATGGCCGACAGGTAGCTTGGATATTGCACGCTGTATCGTACACACACACACACACACACACACACACACACACACCGATCTACAGGGTGGATCAGAAGTTTGCTAGATCAATATCGGTAACATTCACATCGCAGTCATCATAGTGTTTCAATTCGCCTATAAAAATGAATGAATCTCGTTTATCTTCGAAACAATCTCTAAACTTAACGTTTTGTAACTATAACGATCGTACTTATAGCCTGTGGACTTAGACCTCTTGGCAAGCTACTACGTTTGCCAAAATATGTAGATTTAATTAACGCGTGAAATATATTTTTGCAATTACTTAATATTCTAATTCACGATAATCAAGTTTTTTATCGATATTTCCAACTTTATTTACTAACGACACACCCTGTATACTAATACATGCGCACTACGCGAAATTATATAGCAAAGACAAATGCGAATCTAGGTTACACTATATATACGTATTACTGTTACTTGACAGACTATTATTATTATTACTATTATTATTATTATTATTATATAGAGTATGAGTAACAGAAATGTTGCAAAGTATACGGTACAAAAAGATCGAAACATGCTGGATAAAAATAATTTAAGTTTTAAATTATTCTCACATATGTACTTGTACTGTGTATTTTTGCCTTCTTCATTATTTATCAATTAAGATAAATAAAGTCTTCTTTATTATTTACAGCACGCGCAAACGGAATAATTTACGCGAATATTCAAGTAACAGACAAAGTGTATAAAGTGCTCTGAAATAAGCTGGAGAAACAGATAAACAATATTATGTCAAGACATCCATAGCATTTTTTACTATAGCCTCCTATGTATCGTAATAACAACTGATCTATTTATGTAAAAACTTACGGAAGAAAAAAGGTTGCGTGACTAACCCAGGCAGTGCAGCAGCAGGTTTTTCAAGGTACCGTCGATTCTGTTTATCGGGCTCCAGATCGAAAGCTTTCTGTAACAGAAAGAGAACGGAAATCATGATATGTGCGGCATATACGCGCAATAATACACTCGATATCACTGTAACTCCTTCGCAAAAGAAAGATAAAACGCGTAGAAAGATACGACGTACGACGGAACATCGTCGTCGACGATGTCATCGCCTTAGTTTTATTGTGCAGCCACGCGCTTATATCGCGGTAATGCCTCGCTCGCTCGCTAAATGAAAAAGTTATTATTTTCCATTCTATTCTCCTTCAAGTTCTCTAGCCCGTCCCAAGTTCCTCCGGAGGGCAAGGAATACCGTGCACGCAAAACCGCATCGTATAAAACATCTACCGCGAGTATACGGCTTGTAAACTCGGTAAATATGATACGCGATTTATACCGCGTCTACCGAAATCATTTGCGAAGCCGACCGTAAATCCGAAACTTAGCGGAGAGGAAAAAAAAAAACTTACCCTGATCTCTGCGAAAGTATAAGCTTAAAATGAAGAACCGGAAAGAATAACAAATGTCTTTTTTATTATATTAAGCAAAGATAAATCTAACATAAAGTTGTACGTTTATTATCCTTGATCTTTGGACTGCTGCATTACATATGCACCTTTTTTTGTGATAATCAATTGTGTGGAATTTTTGCAATGTTCACTCACGCGTAGCGACGAGGTGGCGTGTTCTTGCAATAAAAAACGGAGGTATCCACGTGGACGTATAACTTGTTTCTTTTCAAAATTTAAAGGATGAAGGTAAAAGCGCCTGTATAGAGTCTGCGTCGCTCGATTTCGTTGTCTTTATTGTTGTGCATAGTCAGTGTGGCTTGACAGGCCTAAACCCTCTATGATTGATATCTACCTCGTCCTCTTTTGCGCTACATGTGTAGTCATCCTCCCTCTCACTCTCTCTTTATTTCACTCGCATGTTATCCTTTTCGATTACATCGCCCTACCTATCCGTTCAACACACGCACAAACACACTTTTACATACAACATTTACACGACCTTGGTTCTATGCTTGTCGGCGCAGATCGATCGATATGGTTATTATGAAAATTGAAAATAAGATACTTTTGCACCTACTTGTACGTAGAAATGTCCGCAAACTATGACCTCCTATTACGATCGTTGCTCGATAAAGCATCAAAACTGATCGTGAGATCTCGCGGATTGATGCCATGAGAATGTACTAACGATGAATTACAATATTTTTTTATTATCGAGAGAAAAGCGTCAATCAATTAATTATTAATCAATATATGTAAATATGCATTTAAATTGTGTCATTACATGATGCTTAATTTAATTTTCCACAATATTTAATGAAAATTACAAGGATAAAAATTCAATGGAAAATTAAAATTAAAGTAAGCTGCCATTTTTTTTATCTACTTTCATATATCAGTCAATTTAGATTATACGTCACTAAAATGTATTCGTAATAAGTATTGAGAAAAATACACATTGTCATGCGTTCCGACGCAGGTCAAATTTATATATTGAAATGGAACGCTTTGCGTAATCATTCGTTATAATTCAATTTAGAAACTTTGATACGGCTCATTTCTCGTGGACCGTCATGTACGAGAAAAATCTTGAATATAGCAAAGAATACAACAGGATTCTTCTTTAACAAGGGAAAGAATAAAATAAATGAAATATTCAATATTATCGAGTGTTACAGCAAAATTGTTGATTTAAATACGATATCAATTAAATTTTTAGAGAGCACGGATAAATTCGCATTTATCGCTTTTGTAAATGAACATGAAAGTTGATAGAACTTTTTTACACCGCCACCATTCGAAATAGCAATCTTAAACATATACATTTTTCTTTTATTTTTGCGGTATCCATTTATTTTATTTATCGAAAAAAATTGCCAAGTTATATTATAATTAGGTGCCAAATTATCGCAAAGAAGCGTTACTCGTTGCAATTTCTAGTAACAAAATTTTTGTGAAACCCGTATTAATTAAGTCGCGAGCCAACGGCCGTTTTGAACGGACTGACGAGCATTTTCTTGCTCGCCCGTGGAGTATTATTTAAGGGAAAACGCACGTTAATACGCCTGCCGGTGACACGAGCATTATTAGGGCGGAGGGTGTAAAAAAAGGAAGGACGCGCGCGAGTCGGGGGACAAAAATGTCGTTTCTAAACGGTTTACGTAAAGCGACAAGTACGCTTGTCGGTTACGCTCTCTGCTGTGTCTCAGTGCAATGACAGGTTTAATTACCAGACTTGAATATACATACACAAGTATGTATGTATTTTTTAGTATATTCTGGATACCAATTGATTTTGCAGCACGATTGAAATATGCATTTGATTTCGATCGCATGCGACATATTTGTATCGATAATCGCTCTGAAATACAATATTTTCGCCCCATGAAGATAAAGATACATATAATCAATAGAAATAAATGCCTTTAACAGTCTAGCTGGATCTTAAGTGCTTGTATATAATTCTATATAAATTTATATACAGGGCTGGGTAAAATGCCTTTCAAATTTCATTTAAAATACTAACTGTAAAATACTTTTAAAAAGTGTATTTAAAATGCAAAATGTAAAATAGATGGTTTTTCGAATCCATTTTTAATGTAAAATGGATAAATGGATATTTTTAATGGTTTTCGAATGCAAAATAGTTTTTCTTGCCATAGCAGAAAAAAATTTTTACGAAAAAGTACAGAAAAACTAATAGATTGATAAATAGATTGAGAAAAAATCCTAGAAATTCTTAATTTTTCATAGATATTTTTAGTGAGACATAGAGTGAGGTTTGTTTGTTTTCAGAAATCCATAATTTCTCGTAGATATTCGTAGTAAGATGTAAAGCGTTGTTTGTGGGCGGAGAATTTCATGGTTTTAAAAAAAAACCAAATAAACAACATTACGTCCTATTACGAATATCTACGAAAAACTAAAAATTTTTAAGGACGGTATTCATGGGCCGTTTTTATTTCAAGATCGTCTTAAGTAACGTCTTAAAATTCTAATATGGCTCTATGATTGGCTTGTAACATCTTAAGGCTGTATTTAAGATGGCTTTGAATATAAAAATCGACTATGAACATCGCTCTATGATCTTGTTTCAATCTATGTAGTTTTTCGTGAAAATTTTTCGCCAGAATGGTATACATTTTTTAAAAGTATTTTAAATTCAAAAATAGTTTGAAATTCATTTTCAATGAAATTCGAAGCCCTGACTACAATATTATAAAAAATTTTTGACAAGAACATTTAAAATTTTTTAATATTATAATTTAGAAACGGGACCGTTTACTTGAGTAAATTAAGTTAATATAAGAAACGCCGATTACAAAATTAGATGTTAAAAGTAATATACATTTTTGGAAATGTAAACAATATTTTATATAAAGCTAAAACACTCTTTTTTTATTAAGATCCGACATTTATGGACTATCTGGAATTAATTTTCTTTTTATAGTTTAATTTGCAGTTTATTTGAAGATTCATAAAAATTTTTAGCCAATCATGGGATTTGGTTCTTCTTAATGATTCTAGAAAAAATTTGTGAAAAATAGAAAAACCATTTATCTGTTTTGTAAATGATTAAATGATAGACATGATTTCATTTCAAATGTAAAATAAAAATGGTTTTCCAAAAACCATGTAAAATAGAAAATGCAAAATGCCATTTTCATTTTAAATACATATTTAAAATGGAATTATTTTAAATATTATCCAGTCCTGTTCGTATACTAATATGTAGATCTTTAAATTGCGCGCTGAAATGATTTTTCAGTCTTGAAACTCTACTAAACTACCGCAGCAATATAAGTTAAATTGATTAGGAATTTAATAATTTGATGTTTTTTCGCACCTTAAAACGATCTTAATAATGCTGAATAACATATTAAAATCTCTTATTATAAAAAAAATTACCTCAGGCGGGAATCGAACCCGAATCTCTAGCATTCCGTGCGAGTGCGTCCTAAGTCTTTAGACTACCATTAAAGGCATTTATTTCTATTGATTGTTCTCTCTCTCTCTCTCTCTCTCTCTCTCTCTTTCTCTCCTCATATGTACGATCCGATGAGATTTAATATTTAATATCAGATGGATATATCGCACGTATCCTATTATACAACGTGAAATAGGTGACAATGGAATTGTTAATAGTTAAATGCAATATTTTAGAATGATGTAGCCAAAATAGGTTCCAACTTTTCACGGAACAAAAGAAGTTGTCTGTCGCGAAAGCACGTGTCAAAGGACAATTTGCGAGTCCGTCGCAAGTTACGGAATTTGGAAAATTCGTTTAATCCAGGCGCCGACGACGAGGAGGACGATAACACCCAGCTTCGTCGACTTTACGCTTGGTAGTGCGCATTCCAAAAGAGAAATTGAAATTGCAAGGCGACTGGCAAGAGAGCGACCGCTCTCGGGTCAATTGTATTAATTAAATCTCTTTTGCGCGATCGTGCATTGCGACTCGACAGCCAGAACGTGTTCAGGCAGCGAGCGAGCTGAAGAATTCAACGGCTAATCCGAATTCTCTCGCGTGACGATCTAATCGATCACGCCGCAAAGCGCCGACAAAGCGTATCTGCGAATTTCTGAACGCGTGCCAAATTAAATTAAGTTGAACGATATGCTCTCGCCGGTCTCTTTTCAAACGGTTCGGCGATTTGTGAATAATTCAACTCTCTTTCGATATCAATCTTTTTTAGTGATTGTATATGGTGATAATTCAGACCTTTTTACTATTCTAAGTATGTATTTTAATTCACAAAAAAAATGTGACAAGATTTTTGATATATCAAACAAGAAATTCACAAAGAAATGAAACCGACATTTCAAATGCTTAATCTTTTTAAATGACAAATGCGCATTAGAGATTTATATTTAAATCGAATTAATTATTAAAAGTGTAATAAGTATAAGTGTATTATGCAAATTTTCCTGCCATTTTGCATCTCAGAGAAAGCATAAAACAGTGACGAGCAAGTCTTGTTTTCCTCTTCCCCTTCTCTCTCTCTCTCTC